GGGGGGGGGGGGGGGGGGGGGGGGGGGGGGGGGGGGGGGCAGGAGGGTCCGCCCACAGCCCGGCAGCTCCAGCCTGCCTTCGTCCCCACCCCCCGGTCCGACCCCTCCCGCCCGGCGCTGGGATCTCTGGGCGTGTTACCGGGAAGTCCCTCCGGCGGAAGACAGAAGGGCCCCCGGCGGGTGGGAGTGGACGCACCGAGCGGTAGCTATGAGGTCTTTGTAGGCCACAGACGTTCCTTGGGATCAGACTGGTATTGATTTGTAAAGAGCCTTCCAACTACTGAGTGCATTTATACGTGTAAAATGCTCCTTTTCAGCCTCTTCCGCTGCCCGGGGTCTCCCGCCCCCTTAAAGCCCCAGGCAGAGCTAAAAGTCCTAAGTCTTGCCTTTTTTCAAAAAGAAAACTCTTAAGAACTCTTGAAGGACGTGTTCATCTGTAGGCTTGGAGACAGGCCTGAGCTCAACTCCTCTCCACGCCTGGCCTCTGTTTCTTCATCTGTTTGTGGAGAATACTAAAGGTGCACAAAAGGATGTTCTCTTCCAGTGGGAGTCACGAAGTTAGAAGTCACTTGAAGTTACCAGAAATCACCTGGTACTTCCCTCAGGAAACTGCCCCAGGGTCCCCTGGGTGACTCAGTCCTTTAAGAGTCTTCCTGCAGCGGAGGTCAGGAGGGTCCTGGCATCCAGCCGGGCTCTTGGGGTTCCCTGCTCAAGGGGGCCTACTTCTCTCTCGGCCCTCCGGCCTGCTTGTGCTCTCCCGTGCTCGCTCGCTCTCTTTCTCAAATAAATAAAATCTTAGATTTAAGGGGAAAAAAAAAAAAAAAGAAAGAAAGAAAGAAAGAAAGAAAAGACAAAGAAAGAAAGAAAGGAAAAGGGAAAGGAAAGGTGAGGAACTGTCCCAGGCCGGTGGTGCGCAGGAGCTGGCTCCTCCTATAAGCTCCTGGGAGCAGACTTAAAAATTCAGAATTTGGGGGTTCCTGGGCGGCTGAGTGGGATGGGTGTCTGCCTTGGGGGGGATCCTCCTCCCAGGGTCCTCTGATGGAACCCAGCGTGGGGCTCCCTGCTCAGTGGAGAGCCTGCTTCTCCCTCTCCTCTGCTCCTCTCCCCAGCTTATGCTGTCTCACTTTCTGTCTCAAATTTTAAAAATTCAGAATTTGGCTAGTCAATCCTTCAATACTGCTATTATTGAAATTTAAATTATGTCATGGGGCGGGAGTGGCTCAGTTGCTTAAGCAGCTGCCTGCAGCTCAGGTCAAACTCTCAGGGTTCTGGGGTGGAGTCCCAGGTTGGACTCCCTGCTCAGCCAGGAGTCTGCTTCTCTCTCCGCCTTTGCCCCTCCCCCATGCTTGTGCATTCTCTGTCTCAAATAAATCTTTTAAAAAACTTATGTCAACTTACAATTGAATAAGTTATATTAAAAATGAAGGTGTTTGGGGCGCTTGGGTAGCTCAGGTCATGATCTTAGTGTCCTGGAGTGGAGCCGTGCCATCAGGCTCCTTGCTCAGCAGAGAGCCTGCTTCCCACTCTCTCTCTGCCTGCCTCTCTGCCTACTTGTGATCTTTATCTGTCAAATAAATAAATAAAATCTTTAAAAAAAATAACGAAGGTGTTTGATAGTAGTCTGTAACTTCCTAATTACTGTTGGGTCCCCCCAAAATGGGTACCCCAATAATGGGTCCGTGATTAAAGGAGCGAGACTGATACAAAGCGAAAGTCAAGCAAAGCTTTATTTCGTGCCAAGCATCAGGAATCAAACCGACCGTCAAACACACTGGTCGGGGCTGCCCCCCTTACAGAGAGGACAGCCCCTCCCTGCTTTCCAGACTAACTTTTACAGAGCAAAGGCCGTGTGGTTGGGCCTGGCCACGCACAGGTGGCCAATGAAATTATAACACACAGAGAAAGCTGCACAGTCATGCTAGGTCACACATAAGTGACCAATTGAATTACAATTTACCCTATAGTAGACATTTGAACCAGCCTATCACCTTGGTCAGAATTGGCGCCCAAAAGGTGCCCAAAGGGCGGGGCCCATACTCCTTGGTAACTAGGGAGACAGTATGCATCCCCCCACTGATCGGATATCTCCATCTGGCCTGACCCACCCTTGTATTTGGGCTTTGTTACCCAGCCGGTTTCTGGGACTTGTTTTTGAGTAAGTCCCTTGGGGGAAGGGGGGCAGGGACAGTTTAAGGGTTAAACAACAAGGTTATTGTTTAACCTGGATGGAAGCCTCTGGCTAAATAGGTCCTTACACTACCTGTGCTCTTGGGGTTGTTTACCTCTATCCTATTTGTGTGGTGGGAAAAGTAGGCATATATTTTCCCAACATCCATTTTCAGTCACATGGTGGCTTGAAATTCACTTCATGGGAGTATTCACTCAGATATTGCAAATGAGGGCCTTCTCTCCCCTTTTTATTAAACATTTAGCAATAATATGCCATTAGTCCATTTAAGAATTGAAGTCTTAAAACACTAAGGGTTACTAGCATAATAGGTTATTAAAATTGCTTACACTCAGCACATCATTCATTACATATTTTCCCAACAACACACCTCTGTCACCACTCACATAGCTAAAAGGTGGAACTGGAGGGACCATTATGAGGAAAGAGTCATCAGAGGTAAGAAAACTTTGCTTTGGGCTTGATGTTAAGTTCAGAGAGCCCCCTTCTACTTTTTTGTGTGTGTGTGAGAGAAATTAGTATCTGTGAAACTAATTTCCAATTATTCCAGCATCCTTTATCAAAAGGCTCTCTTTTCTCTGTTCAGGTGTCTTTGCACCTGGATCAAAAACTGATTATTCATAGATGTTTGGGTCTATTGCTAGACTCCGTATTCTGTACGTTAAGCTAGTTATCTTTCTTGATGCTAATCCCATACTATCTTTATTCCTGTGGCTTGAAATTATTTTCAATTTTGTTTTTCTTTTTCAAAGTTGTTTTGGCTATTCTAGATATTTTGACTTTCCATAGAAACTTTAGAATCAGCTTGTCAATATCTACAAAAAAACTGCTGGGATTTTGAATTGACATCTCAGCAAATGGAGTCTCCTCATGAAAGTTGTTTTTCATTGATAAGTCTTATGAACAAGTTATATCTTCCCATGTATTTAAATCATATGTAATGTCTCTCAACAATATTTTGTAATATAGATCTTGTACATCTTTTGTCACACAGACATACTTGTTTTTGTATGATTCTCTTTATTGCGCTTTGCAGATACTGTGTTTTTACAGATTGAAGATTTGTGGCCACCCTATGTGGAGCAAGTCTGCTGGTGCCATTTTTCCAACAGTATTTGCTCACTTCATGTCTCACATTTTGGTATTTCTTCAATATTTCAAACTTTTTCATTATTATTATATTTGTTATGGTGATCTGCAATCAGTGATTATGACTCTGAGTGCTCAGATGATGGTTAGCCTTGTTCAGCAATACAGTATTTTTAACTTATGTATCTTGCTTTTTTAGATATAATGTTATCACACATTTAATAGACTACAGTGTAGTGTAAACCTAACTTGTATATGCACTGGGATACAAAAAAAAAAAAAGGCATTTGACTTGCTTTATTGTGATATTTGCTTTATTGTGGTGGTTTAGAACCCAACCTGCAATATCCTGAGGTATGCCCGAATTTATCTTTAAGTATTTCGAATGTGTGGTGTTATTATAAATAATATTTTTTATTGTTTACTGCTAATATATGGAAACACAATTACTTTTTAAGGGTGCCTGGGTGGCTCAGTTAGTTGAGCAACTGACTTGATTTCAGGTCATGACCTCAGGGTCTTGGGATCAGGCCCAGTACAGAGCTCTGCACTCAGCCCAGAGTCTCCTTCTCTGTCTTCCTCTCCCTCTACCCCTTCCCCCAGTCTCTCTCTCTCTCTCTCTCATAAATAAATAAATCTTTAAAACAAAAGAAATACAATTACTTTTTATATATTGATCTTATATTTACAAACTTGCCAAAGTCATTGGTTGGTTCTAGTAATTTCTTAATAGATTCCTTACATTTTCTACCTAGATGATGATGTTATTTCTGAATACTTTTACTTCTTTCTTTACTATCCATACAGCTTTTATTTCTTCTTCTTTTTTAAGAGTTTATTTATTTATTTGACAGAGAGAGACAGCGAGAGGGGGAACACAAGCAGGGGAAGAGAGAGTAGCAGGGTTCCCGCGGAGCAGGGAGCCCAAGGCAGGGCTCAATCCCAGGACTGGGATCATGACCCAAGCCGAAGGCAGACGCTTGACAACTGAGCCACCCAGCCACCCCCATACAGCTTAAATTTCTTATTTTGGCCTTACTGCACTGACTAGAATCTCAGTACAATATTAAATAGTAGTGATGAAAGCAGACATCCTTGTCTTATTGTTGATCTTAGAGGGAAAGTATTCAGTCTTTCACTTTTAAGTATGATCTTAACTGGAGGGTTTTGTAGATTCTCTTTTAACAGGTGGAGAAGTCCCTCCTATTTCTAGTTTACTAAGAGTTTCTGTTAATGGGTGTTGGATTTAATCAAATGCTTTTTCTACATATTGAGATGATCAGGTTGTTTTTTAAAAAAATTTGTTTCATATCAGGGTGCCTGGGTTGTGCAGTTGATTGAGCCTCCAACTCTTGGTTTCAGCTTGGGTAGTGCTCTTGGGGTCATGGGACTGGGGTCCACTTTGGGCTGTGCTCTCAGTGCAGAGTCTGCTTGAGTTTCTCCCTCTCTCTCTGCCCCTACCCCCTTCGCCTCACATGTGCTCTCTCTCTC